CACTTTATTCAAGACTGACTATAAAATAGGCGGTACAGATATACTTATATATATATTATGTTTTTTATGCCCTTAAATATGCTCCTTTAATTCCCTTCCCGCTATCTCTCTCTCTCTCTCTCTCTCTCTCTCTCTCTCTCTCTCTCTCTCTCTCTCTCTCTCTCTCTCTCTCTCTCCCTTTCCTTTCCCCTCATGAAAACCTTTCTCTGCTGTCTTTCAATCTGTCTACAAAATCCAATTTTCAATTAATCAACTGGCTGTTCCACGATCTCCTCCTAACGCCTAATGTCTATGTAAACATGTATATATTGTTTACGCACACACTTACTTACTTAGTCGCTCCTCTTCTACCTTGGGGTGTAGAGGTTTGCCAGAGAGATCGCCGGACGTCTCTATCCGCAGTTTTCTTTCTGGCTTTGTTCCATTCCAGTCCTCTGTCAGTTAGGGACTGTCGGATGTTGTCTTCCCAGCGCACCCTGGGTCGTCCCGGAGGTCTGGTTCCCTGGTTCTTAGCCTCCCATGCTTGCCATGGTAGCCGATTTTCTCCCATTCTGCATACATGTCCAAACCATCGTAACTGTGACTGATCTACTCGGGTTAGTAAGGGCTGGGTATCAAGATCTTGACGTACTGTCTGATTGCGGACTTTGTCCCTTCTTGTCACTTGGACCACCTTTCTCAGGTATCTCATTTCCGAGGCCTGCAGCTGGCTTCTGTGAGCTGTTGTCATTGCCCATGACTCACACCCATATTACGCACACACTTGCATCACAAATACTCACACACGGCAACAAATGTATAGATCACTGAACACAATAGGCACAACGCAGACGCCTGTAAATAAAATACACACAATACAGAAACCATGCAGCCTTGTATACAGACCCACCTTAACATACAATAAAATTGATTTAAAACTTAAAAAAAAAAAAAAGCGACAGTAACCTGGTTCTCATCAAATAATCACCTTTCTAAAACACCAATGCAGATAGTAAAACTCTGTGGCGCTGACGTGGAGAGATCTGATTCCATGAAATACCTGAGTATAACATTTGACAGATGCTTAGCATTTAAAAAACACGTCGACCACATAATAACTAAAGATAAGAAAGGTCTCTCCGCAATAAAAGTTACGGGAGCTGCAAACTTTGATCAACGGCTACTTGTAATGTTGTATCGTGCGTTAGTTCTCTCCACTATTGAATATGCCTTGACCATCATGACACTCAGCACCACATAAATGAACAGACTAGAAAAAATTGAAAACGAAGCAATGCGTATTATTCTTGGATGCACTAGAGACACCTCTTGTAAATTCATGCGATACCTCTTGGATTTCCAAACACTGGAAAAGAGAATAAAGCTATACAGGGATGTTGCTTTCCTCAAAGTGAAGTCAGACCATCGACACACACTTTATGAGGAATTATTTAAGCTAGGCAAATCCTGGATGGGTCAGGCTGAGGATGCCGTCGAACATGTTTGCCGCCTTACTGACATTAATTTTGGAATTGAATGGATAATTATGCCTTCTTCTCCTAACATTAATATTACAGTCCACATTAATATTACAGTCCACATCACACTTGATGGAAGCTGTAGAGAGCAAATTCCTGGCATTGTTGACACTTTTGTCAAAACACTGACTGACGAAAACACAGATGAAGGTGATGCTATAGTTTACACAGATGGGTCAGCAATTCGGGGCAAGCGAAGTGCATGGGCATTCACAGTAAGCTCCAAGGGAAAACCATCAAGGAGATAAATGGCGCCTTTGCTGTTACATCTAGTAACCTTACAATGGAAACTATGGCTGTAACAAGGGCTTTAGCATGGCTTGACACTCAAAAGTTCACACACGTGTGCATTCTTAGTGACTCGATGAATATGCTTGAAGAAATCCAAGCTAGGTTTATCAGGCAAGAATGTGTTGCAACACTAAGCACTTAACGAATAGCTGCCCTAACCTTCATCTTTGTGCCAGGTCATGCGGGTGTTCAAGGAAACGAGCGTGCAGACTATCTTGCTGACACTGCGGTTGTTATGGCTGGTCCAGTACTGGACAGAAGTGATGTTATCAATAGCGTGCGCTGCACTTACCGTACCGAGGAGCTTGCCAAAGGACATGACTCCATATCCCTGTCTAGACTGATGGCTTAGGGGTGCAGCCTGGAGCTGCAAGAAATGAACATTTAACAAAAGGGACAAGACGTTTTATTTACCAACACAGAACAGGCGTCATCACTCGTTTTACACTTGTGGAGCTTTTGAGGAGGAGATCGGAGCACCTGTGGATCTGGAGTGCTGTGATGATAATCCTTTCTAATCACTAATCACTAATCTGCTTCATTTTCAGGTGGTAGTTTTCGTGCTTTCTTTTGTCTATTCGTAGCCATCTGTTTTGCTAATCAATTCTTTTCAGCATGTTGATTTTACCACGATGGTTGCAGAATATTGTTTTTGGCGTCTTTTTTCCCCTGGCTGTTTGGCCCAACAAATGCAATGCACCAACCTTAATTTGTTAGTTAATTAGTAGACAGATTATCTAGAGGGTCTGGCGGGCTCACTACATTCAGAGGCATGGCAATACCGACAAATAACCAGATTTTGACTGATACCATCAGTATTGAAACTTTGCGCTGGCTGCTGAAGATGGGGACTGAGCGCGCATGGGAATGTCCCGAGTGCTGTAATGTCAATTCTTGACTCAACTCAACAAGACAGATTATCCTTACTGCACGTCAAACAATTCAGTCCATAATTGCTGATATCACTTCTTTAGTAAACCCCTCAGCCTTGCACGAACCTGATCTTAACTGAACGTATATTTCAATGTGCGTCGTGACTTAGTCTGTTCTTTTGGGATTAGATCAAGGCATGGAAGGTGGTCAATTTCTTGTGCCCCATTGTGAGGGCCTTTTGGGAGCGTGTGAACAGTGCTGAGGCGCAGCAAGATCATTACGGTCAAAGGAGAATGGCGCTGCGAGCAGTTACCAGGGAATCTGGCAGACGCTCAACACTCAGGTGAAGGATGAGACGGCAATACAATCAGACGGTTACTGGTACCATCGGAATTGGAACTCGTCGCTTGCTGCTGAAGATGGGGACTGAGCTCGTTTGGGAGTGTCCTGATTGCTGTGATGTCGATTCTTAATTCAACATTCAACATTGTACCCCAAGAACATCCCGGCATCAGTCATCATAATCAGGTGCTATGCCAGTGAGCGTAGGCTCTCATGTTTCACCACCTCACATGATCACCAGAATCACGGATCAGTTCATGTCTCTGTCTCGTCCCATCCATCTGGCCAAGCCATGCAGGTATCTTATCTCTTTGGCTTCCTCTTCCTCTCTCACCATCAATCTTGGCAGGTTCTCGAGACCATACCTTCTCATAAAATGTCCATTATTTAAAGAAAGATCTGAAGACATTCCACATCAATGTCGCATACCTCTCTTCATTGGTTGGTACAGACCTACTTCATTATCGAACTTTTATTAAAAAGCAGCATGTTGTTTCCAGTAAACGCTCCTAATCAGTCTAAGATCTGTCCCATTTGTTAGTCTGTAAGCGTTTTTTATCATGTTTTATCAAAAGCCATTGAATAATCAGTAAACCAGAGATGAAGCTATTTATTTACCTCTTTCGAACGTGCATCAGTACTAGTTATTGACTGCCGCCTTTTCGTCTTTCTAGCCTAAAATGGATCGTTGTGTAGCAGCAGTACAGCCGCACTTAAGCGCGCTCTCATCTGATACGCCTGGCCAGCTGAATATCCTTGGGCATAACAGTGACCCTCTTGACATGGATGGCGCACAAGTTGGTATCCTCAAAGAGACCCACCAGGTAGGCTTCGCCATGACAGCAGAGCTCTGGAAACGCAAGTCTGTCTTGAAGCACTGGGCAATATCTCTCCCCAAACGTTGGAAGGGTAGCTTGCGAATGAGCAGCTCAGTGCTCTTCGCTTCTTCTTCTTTATTCACTGATTGTAAGCTCCAGTGGAAAGTCCTGGTTGTTCATCCATTTGAATTTTGGCTTTGTGCCAGGGTCTGATTCATAGTGCTTATACAGCGCTATGGGGAGGCATTGGACTCACAGCACATGCGATTCATCCTCTCCATAGCACAAAACCTTGGCAGTATTGTAGAGACCATATGTTGCCCATACACAATGCTGACTCTGTAGACCTGTCTAGTTTACTCCGAAGGAAAAGTAACACTACTATGTTTAGAACAAAGCAGGCTGCGGAAACTGACGGATCAGAAGAGCAGTATTCTATATGGCAATCTGTCAGAGCTTCCCTCCTAGACCAGCGGCGAGCCAAGGCTAAGGGCCCGGTTTACCCTGACATAACATAAGGTTTTCATGTTGCATTTCCTCTTCCTCGGATAGGGCTAGTTGATACTTAGGCAGGCAATTACTCCATCCTAGTCTCCAGGTTTCACTGCTAATCTAGTAGCACGATCATCTTTTTATATAGTGAGACTTGTACTTAGTAGGGCCTGACTCAGTGTAACTCCTTGTCTGCTTTCTATCCTATCTAAGTAAAATCCACACCCATGAAATGAGATGCAGGAAAAAAACCGCCAACTGAACCATCCAAGACAACGTTAGAAATTATATTATCAGAGAGACTGTAGGAACAACACCATGCAGCAAATTCGTTGACAGAAAGAAGATCAAATGGTTTGGTCATATACTAAGAATGCAGCCAGAGCAACAACAAATACCGGCCCTACTCATGAGAAGATCTGATGCGGAAGCAAGAGGTCGCCCTAGAAGAAAACGGATTGATGCCGTTGAAGATAATAATGATGACGGATTCTGTTCTCTCACTGATAATTAACCTACGCCGCCCTTTAGATTCAAATTAGTCTACCAATAGTTGAAAATATGATTAGGGTTTTATTTGTTCTAATTAGATCGTTGCACCAGGAAACCCTGTTTAATCCTTTATTTAACATTAACCAAGTTAACGGTTCGGTTTTATTTTTCTCAGATAAATCATCAAGACCCTTGCGAGGCAACCCTTCAAAGATGAGCTGTAGAGTTATCGGCCTTATAACCAGCGCAGTAATCGTTATATTTTCAGCTGGTGGTCTCTCGTCTCTGATCTGGGTGCTGAATTCAAGCAAAAATGTTGAAGCCGCGGCGTCGCCACCCTTTGTAACTACTCCAGTTGGTCGTTTTGTTGGTGTACTCACACCTAGTGTCACATATGGAAGTACTTATGTTAGCTATAAATCCATTCCTTTTGCAAAACCACCAATAGGAGAACTTCGTTTCAAACGCCCACAACCACTCGATGACCCCGAAGTGGACTGTTTAGTCAACAGCGAACAGTATAAACAGTCCTGCTGGTCGGTGACCAAGAAAAGTACAGACCCCAGTTATGGAGAGGACTGCCTGTATTTGAATATTTATGTGCCTGGAACTGAAGAAGCAGGTCAAACAGGCAGAAAATTGCCCGTTATTGTGTGGATTCACGGGGGAGGTTTTGTGGCGGGAAGCGCTTTTCCAGAACCTGAAAAATTGGTGGTTAGGGGAGGCGTCATTGTGGTGACAATTAATTATAGACTTGGTGTGTTTGGATTCTTGAGCACGGGGGATGATGCTCTTCCTGGCAACAATGGATTATGGGATCAGTACGTGGCCATCAAATGGGTAAAGGATTATATTACTTTCTTTGGGGGAGATGACCAGTCCGTTACTTTATACGGAGAATCTGCAGGAGCAATGAGCGTCGCTCTTCATGCTTTGTCCCCAATCTCATCCGGGGTCTTCAATAAGGCAATAGTTCAGAGCGGAGGAGCTACCAGCCTCATATCTCGAGACGCAAGGCAAAGAGCCCTAGAGTTTGCATCTATGGTCGGTTGTTCAAGTGTTCATTCTTCAGCAGATCTGGCTAAGTGTCTTCGGCAGGTAAGTGTGGCGGTCATACTACAGTACAGCCAACCGTCAGCATTTAGCTTGTCGCTCGCTCAACAACAAAGTGATTTCATCTGGATGCCGGTCATCGATGGAGAATTTATTCCTGACGAACCTTTGAAACTTCTACACAACATTAGCTATCTGGAAACAATCGGAGCTTATAAAAAGGACTTCCTCTTCAGCATTTTAAATAACGAAGGTGCGATGATATCTGACAATTTTCTTCGGCCCATTTCGCTGGCACAGGTGACGAACATAAGTTTTGTTACAGATTTAACAAACTTCCTTTTGTACAGCAGATATGGACGTAATTTTACAAACAGTAGAGAGCTTAAAGACGCTATTTATACATTTTATACAGGTTCTTCTGTGCTCAGTCCTACTGTGGAGCCACAAGACATATTGGATCTAGCAGGAGATGTAGCTTTAGTTATACCCGCACTCGAGATGGCTCTAACAATATCAGACTGCCATCAACCAACTTCTGAAATCTGTAATTCCAGCTTTAAACAGAATTCCAGCTGCTCCAGAACCACAGCTAGGACATACGTCTTCATGTTCGACTATTGCTCAACGAGTGAGCCATGCAAGACCACTTGCATGATCCACGGAGCAGATGTCGCCTACGTGTTTCCTCGCAAAATCTTTCCGGACCCGGACCAGCAAAAAATGTCGGACATGCTGGTCGACATCTTGACTACATTTGCAAGGTACTCGAACCCGGAGACTGTTGTGCCGGGTGGTTGGCCTGCTTTTGATACAGTGTCAAGAAGCTACCTTAGATTTGATGTTTCTCCCAGTGTGAGACAATATCCTTTCAACTACAGAACACAGTTTTGGTTGAAGCAGGTCCCAGTTCTGAATCCATTTAGAAATTAGACCCGCAGCACCGAGCCGGGTTCGTGTGAGCTTTGTGGAATTCCGAGTCAGGCATGCAATTATACTGTTAGATACAAAAGAGAACATGAATGATACAGGTACTCAGGTAGATTCCTGTGAACAAAATACCATAGACCGTGTTGCGTTTAGAGGACAAATCAGGAAGGGAATGAAAATAAAGGGGACAATGATCGCAGAAAGGCTGAGAACTGAGCGTATGAGAGCAAGCACAGAAAACACATAAGATGACAACAACGGTCCTGAATTGCCATGCTATAATTGTGGAACACTTTTCTTAATCCGGGGTGGGTCTTGCTAGTCACACTCGCCATCGCCATAGGTTGTGATTCTCCCCCTAACACAGTATAGTATACCATCTGGAAAGACATGAAAGGAATGGTTGTAGCAAGTTTAACTCCTGCAGTCTTAACCATTCCTTAAAATGATTCCATCCTTTAGTGTTCACTTTTAGAGCAGCTGAAATTCGGATCTGTAGGTGTTGAAAAGAAAGTACTATGAGAAAGGAAGAAGTAAACTAACAGTTTAGATGGAAAGGATAAATTATCTTAACTATCAATGATAGAATAAAGTCATACGACCCTGGGGGGTGGGGGGGGGGGGGGGGGGGGGTGGGGGGTGGGTGCTATTTTGGTAATCAATAAGTATGTTAGAATGATTGTAACAATCAATCAGTTATCTTTATTACTATGCCTCTATGATATACTTTCGTTCGGTGTTATATCATTCCTTGATATACTTTTCCTTCTATTTTAAATCTCTCTTTATGCCTAGTGGCACATGAGGCTTCAGAGAGGACTTTTCCATGCTTTCCTGTCCTGTGCAATCTTCAGTGCAGTTTTCCATGTCAGAGATGCCGCACTCAGGTCACTTTCCATCGTTCGTCTCCATGTTGTTTTTGGGCGCCCCTTTTTTCTCTTTTCCTCTGGTGTCAAAGTCAGAGTTGTTTTGGGGAGGTTTATCAGGATTCATTAAGGATGACAAATCAGCAAGGTGATTATGTTAGACACTGAACAACTGTGGCTGTAGTAGGGTTATATTCTGTTTCTTCAAGAGTCTGTGTCTGTCTGTGTGTCTCTGTGTGTGTATATGTAGGTGTTTGTGTGTGTGTGTCTCTGTGGGTGTTTGTGTGTCTGCGTGTGTGTCTGTGTCTGTGTCTGTGTGTGTATTTGTGCATGTGTGTATTTTTTGTTCTACTCTATAGAGTACAGAAGTGCACATTTGCAGTTACCAGACAGACATCCATTATCCTGTTAACTACAGGAAGAATTCTATCAATCACAAATAGAGGTGGTGAATACTGAGAGAAAGAGCAAGACACACAGAGAGAGAGAGAGAGAGAGAGAGAGAGAGAGAGAGAGAGAGAGAGAGAGAGAGAGAGAGAGAGAGAGAGAGAGAGAGAGCAGAGAGACAGACAGGGGAGTTTTAAGTAACAAGTGACTAGTTTTGATAACATCAGTCACACAGAGAAATGGTGAATATACAGAGAGAGACAGAGAGACAGTGAGAGAGAGAGGGGGAATTTCTTAAGTAACAAGTGACAAGTTTTGATCCCATCAGTCACTGAGAGAGAAGACATTAATTTCTTAAGTAACAAGTGACTAGTTTTAATCAAATCAGTCACAGAGATACAGAGAAATTTATTAAGTGACAGGTGACTATCTTTGATCACATCAGTCAGAGAGAGAGAGAGAGAGAGAGAGAGAGAGAGAGAGAGAGAGAGAGAGAGAGAGAGAGAGAGAGAGAGAGAGAGAGAGAGAGAGGAATTCCTTAAGTAACAAGTGACTTGTTTTGATCACATCAAATACACACAGGCGCGCGCACACACACACAGAGTAAGAGAGAGAACACACCACCCATAGTTGCTCCGTTCGAGTGCCAACGAAAACCACAGAGAATGTCCATCACTGTCTCTTGTGGAAAAAAATGGACACAGACTGCAATCTTAGCAAATTCAATAGCCCACACATGCATTAAATGCATAAGGCAGTTGTCGGAAGTGCCTAATCAAATAGTCTGACACAAGAAAGGCAGGGTCATCAATGATGGAAACAGCAATTACAACAGATCAGTGGCTGCACACACAATTAATCACGAGTTCTGTTCACAACACAAACCACATCGGACACAGTCAAAAAGCATTCTAAATGATGTCCGCAGTTCACAGTGTTGTACTGTGCACTCAACACAGTAGCTGGGCGATGAAATTATATCTTTCCAGTTTACACATGGAGCAATATGCAATGGCTAACTATTGCAACAAGCAAAAAATGTGCTATGACTAAAAAAAAAAACAGTTACCTTGTCTATCCTCAATACTGATGGGAGGATGAATGAAGATAAATAATCTTTGCAGCGATAAACCTTAAGGGCTCAGAGTGCTAAAGAAGAAGAAGGAGGAGGAGGAGGATAAGATGAACTACATTAAGTTAACAAAAACTGACTTAAAAGATAACTGACTGCCTACATCACAAGGATTCAGTCAAATTTTTTTCTGGCCATAAGATGAAAAGGAGAAAATAAGTACCCTGTGACGGTGGGAAAGCTGAAAGGAAAAAGACTCAGAGGGCGACCAAGAGAGAAGATGTTGGACAGTTTGACATCATGGCATGCAAGAATTTTCTGTGTTAGAACCAACTGGAGTACAGGAGAGATAGAGGGTTGTGGACAGATACGACAACGAACACTGCATAGCGCATAGCATGGAACATAAGAAGATTATGGACAGACAGAATATCAACGACAAACAGCTTGGACTCTAAAAAGGTTGTGGATAGACAACTACCAACACGACATGGCATGGACTCTAAGAAGATTATGGATAGACATGCATACCAGTGCCACGTGGTGAATAGACATGACTACCAATGCCACATAGCATAGACTATAAAAAGGTTACCGATAGTCATGACTACCAACACCACATAGCATAGACTATACAAATGTTACAGATAGACATGACTTCCAACACCACATAGCATAGTCTATAAAAAGGCTAAGGATAGACATGACTACCAACACCACATAGCATAGACTATAAAAAGGTTACGGATAGACATGACTACCAACACCACATAGCACAGACTATAAAAAGGTTATGGATAGACATGACTACCAAAGCCACATAGCACAGACTATAAAAAGGTTATGGATAGACATTACTACCAAAGTCACAGAGCACAGACTATAAAAAGGTTACGGATAGACATGACTACCAACACCACATAGCATAGTCTATAAAAAGGTAAGGATAGACATGACTACTAACACCCCATAGCATAGATGATTAAAAGGTTACAGATAGACATGACTACCAAAGCCACATAGCACTGACTATTAGAAGGTTACAGGGTTACGAATAGATATGACTACCAACACCACATAGCACAGACTATAAAAAAGTTACATACAGAAATGACTACCAACGCCACACAGCATGGACACTAAGAAGAAATTTAGGCTGGGTGAAATTTGGAGTCCAGGCCAATGGGAAAAAATCTCATGTCTAGAAGATTTAAACACATGCAGGTGAATGAAACAGAACCAATTTTTCAAAGGGTATGCAGGTCAACCTTACTCAGCCTTTCAAACACTCATCCTTCATACTGCAACTGTATTTTATCCGTAAAGCATCTTATCTTTAAACCATCAGGCAAACAAGTGTCATCATCATCATGTAACAGGTCCTTTGCAGAACGTCGCTCTCATCACAGTCTGCCTGAAAGAAACTCGGTCTCTCGCCAGTTCTCCTGCTTTATGCACTTTCACAATCAAGGAGTCACTTATATCCTGTGCCCATCTTCGTGTTGGTCGGCCCCTGCCCCTCCTTCCTGGTACCATACCTTCTGCTATAATTTTTTCCAATCCGTCGTGGCGCTTGATATGACCAAAATATTTCAGCTTTTGAGAAAGGATGCTGTTTATTAGCCAATCTTCCTTGATGTTCAGATCTTTTAAGATGTCAATATTTCTCATCTTATTTGTCCAAGATATTCTGAGAATCTTTCTACAGCATTTCAGCTCAAAAGCCCCAATTCTCTTTCTTAAGGACTGAGAGATAGTCCACGACTCACATCCGTATGTGGCCACAGGGAAGATGCATGCTCTCAAACAAGTGTACTAGCAACTATATTACCTCATCTCCTAAGAATCACAGTATTTAGTTGGATAATCCAGTAAAAGAATAGGGCAAGTAGATATGTTATGAGTTAAGTGCTTTGAAAAAAAAAAAAAAGAATAATCCTTCAATTATTCTATATGTAATAAAAACAATGTTTTCTTCATAGAACGTATTGAGTGCTTTTTCTTTAGTTACTTCACATCCTTCTTCTCTCTCAAATTTGTTTCTTCCCGTTTTTCAGACAAGATCAAATTTTTTTTTTTTAACAATCTGACTCAGTGCAGGTATGAATCCAAGACTTTCGGGCCTGCAGGTGAGTATCTAAAAAAAAAAACACAAAAAGAGATAGGGTTAGAAATACCAGCATTAGAGAGAAAGTCAGAATAAGACCACGTCTGGATTACTTTGACAGACAAAGAACAAAATGATTCAGCCATCTAGTGAGAATGCAGCCAGACCAAACTGCATATGAGACTTTTTACCAGCAGAACATCTGGGAAAAAGGCGAGAGGAAGACCAAGAAAGAGATGGATAAACTGTGTATCCAAAACCTGCAAAAAGATGAACAAATTCATCACCAGAGCCACCTGAGAACCGCAAGATAAATACAGAAAACCATGACACTTGGTTACAATCTGGTGACAGTGAGATGACAAAAGAAGAAGAAGGTGAGCATCTAGCCGCTAGCCCACCAGGGCTCCATCTTGCTAGCTATCTTCAACAAAAGGTATCATCTCATAGTGTTGATTACCTTTAACGTCTTGACAAAGCAATGAATTTCTCAAAACAGACAACACAGTTTCCAACATGACATAAAATAGACACAATCAAAAATAAAACAACTAATGAAGAAATAAAATAATTGTTTACGTCAATATTACCATAATCTATTCAACATCTTTATAACTAATCAGTAAAGAAAATGACCCTTTTCCACGCCTTCTGGTGTACTGGGTATATAGGGCTAGACCTATGGTTGGCTTTGATACCACTGTCAAAACCAATGCTAGGCGGTCTGCTGCCAAATTGCCTGCAGCTGGGATCAAACCTGGCATCTTGGCATTATAAAGCAATGAAGCACATTCGCAACAGCTAAGCCACAGTTACCCCACCATGGGTCAGTATTTCATAGGCTACTTGCAAGGGTTCTGCGGGCTGGATTTGGCCTAAGCGCCATCAGTTAAATAACCCTGCTATATATCAATCAATTAAGTGCCGTCTCCATAATTAAGGTTGGTTGCTACAGATTTCCATTGCACTCTGTCTCTTCTCTTCCTTGCACACTCTCTCAGACTGCTGTTTGTCCATCTCTTGATGTTGTCCTCCCACTCATATCACTGTCTATCTCATGCTCTCGACCTCTCACTAGAGAGTGGCTTTTATAAGAGTGTCATGTCTTTTAATGTGGCCAAAATTTTTCAACTCTCTCTTTAAATAAAAATGTATTTCAGTAATTTGCTTTTCATTCGCAGTGTCTCCAGCACCTCTGTATTTGACTGTTTTTGTTTGAAATATGGTCTTTCATCTGTATATCCAAATTTCCAGAGACATGTTGATTTTCGAGTTGCCTGTTCACTGTCCAAATTTCTGCAGCATACAGCAGGGTTGAATATACATAACATTTGACAATTCTCACTTTTAACGTGTTGCTTTTTGCTCTAGGTATCAATAATGTTTGCATCTTATTGAGGATAGTTTTAGCCATTCCTGCGATACTATATACATAAACCTTTATTGATCGGTTGACACTGCTGTGTGAGGAACTCATTAAACGATACAGCATTACAGATAAATAGAACAATTAAAATAAAAGCTCCCACTGACATAATAAACAATAGAACATTAGTTCAAGTCTATTAAAAACAACAGATGTAATGAGTTGCTCTTTGCTGATGATCAATGCCTAATGACAAGCAATGAATATGAATTGAAAATGGCTTAAACCTTCAATACAAAGTGGCTGTGATCAAGTGCTGTCCCTATAATTTTAAACTTGTCATTAACATCATTATGTGCCACAACAATAAATGTAGGCTGTCATGTTTTGCTACCTACCACGATCCCCAGAGCCATGGGTCAGGTATATGTTCTTGTCCCATCCCATCCATTTGGCCAGCCATTCAGGTATTTATCTCTCTGCCTTCCCTTTGCTCTCCTTCCACCAGTTTGGCCAGTTGTTATCAAATTCTAGAGTCCATTTCTCCTAAATCCATGACACAGATGAACAATATTGCCAACTGTTACCAAGTTATCGAGTCCATAGTTTGGTTGGTTTATAAAACGATCAACATCATAGCACAAGGGTAGTAACCCATAAATGCTCCATTCTACTTCTAACTCAAGTCGAGTCAGAAGAATCTCAGCGCAGTGCACTAACTCTGTAGCCCCCGCCGAGGATCCTGAAATACTTTAGGTAGATTTTTATCTCAGAATTGTGCCTGGGCAGCGCCGTTAGGCTACTATTTTTGATTTCCAACTGCTAAGAGATTTTTTACTTTCACAACAATACACATGAGAGTCCGATCTTACTACCCAGAGACCAGGGGAAAATTACTAGAAGTCCACGTGAAAAAATCCCAGCTTTCACCGGGACCTCAACCTGGGACCTCCAGCAATCGAGGCAGACCCCTTGCCTCAAGACCACTCACACCCCCCCCCCCCTACTTCTTGAGTCCATGTCTTTTCGCAACATGTTTGAAAACTAATGACTGTCTACGTCAAATTGTTCTAATCAGTTGATGACTTTTATCTGTCTTGATGAGGACTACTAGGTCTGTATCTCAATCATTCCATGATTTTAAACCTATGGGGGGGGGGGGGGGGGGGGGGGGGGGGGGGGGGAAGCTGCGTGGTCTCGAGGCATGGTGTTCATCTCTGTATGAATTCAGACACTAAACACTCCACATGTTCTGAGTCACAGATATTAAACATACCATATGTTCTGTTTGAGTCACAGAAACTAAACATTCTGTATGTCCTGCCCAAGTATAGGCACTTGAACATTTTAACAGCGCAAACTATTGCACTGGAAAATATCGTGATGACTGGAAAGATCACTGGTAGAAGAGGCAGAGGCAGACCAAGAGAAATGATGGTGGATGGCTTAACTCTTTGAGTCCCAGGGTGTTTAGCATCACAGGCCCAGGGGGTAGTAAAGAAAGTAATAAAATCGGCGCATCATGCGTTTATTGGGCTTCTAGGTAGGAACCTATTAATGTGTGGTGCGTTCTTTGGGACTCAAAGAGTTAAGACAGTGGCATGGAGGAATATCATCAGTGCAATTGATCCAGAACACCAAAGACCTAGATCTGTGGCAACCCATAAACGCCTCTGTCAGCTGGCAAGGCCCTTGATGATGATGATGAAACTATTTCACCTAGGAGCCATGGGAACAAAGACCTGAACCACTTTAATAAATACAATTTAAAAATTTACAGTCAAGAGAACTATTTTCATTGCACCGGGTTTGGTTCCATAGGGCTCTGTCCCTCACCAAAGAATAGTTTGCTGATAGTGTTGCACAAAGCATGAACTCCGTAGCTACAGCAATAATCCCCTGGGATATACATAAAATCTGCACACTGAGAGAGGCCGTCCATGAAACAAATCCATGACTTCCAAGGGAAAAATAAAATGGCTTAAACAGTTCACCATGGAAGCCCTTAAGAATTCTTCTTCTTCTTCCTCCCATTCACTACCTGTAAACTACAGTGGAAAGATCTGGTTCTGTGTCCAGCTCTGGACTTTAGTCTAGTTCCAGAACCTGAGTGTTGTATTCACATCAGTTTTACAGATCTGACTTATCTGTATGCAGACTGTTGGTTCCTTGCCTTTCAGGCATACGCACTCAGACTTCAAAGAAAGCCACCAGTTAGTCAACTCCTACGACATGTCTGTTGAGCAGGCAGTGGGTCTAATCTTGTTTTCCCTATAACGTAGCATTGAAACCCACACAAGGATCTTTTGAATGTAAATAAATGAAATAACAATAAATACTTATCTTCTTCTTCTTCTGTTCTACAGCTTATGGCACAAAGTGTCACAGAGAGGAGTTACTTTTAGTTTTCTGTCTTTTGCTAGTCCTGTAGCATGTGTTAACGTCATACAGCATTTCTGTAGTGTCTGTTTTACTCCCACAGCCATTTCTTTCATGGTCGGCCTCTTGACTTGCAGCCTGTTCTTATGTAGTACGCTACAGCTGCTGGCTGATTTTGTTCAATTCTGACCAGGTGACCAAACCATTTGATTCCCTGACATTCAATGAAATCATGTTCTTGTACTGTGCTTACAACTGTTCTTAGTTCTTTAGAGATTCTGTCTCTTTCTATTTTTTACCTGTCACATTTCTTTGCAACTCTTCTCACATGCTTATCTAAAGCCCAAGACGTGATTTAATCTGTCATTCCACCTGTGCAATGTTTGGTAAAAACTTGCATTGACCGCCTCCTGTTGCATATCTTGTAGCATGTCATCCTCACTCCCATCCTCTTCTTCCGTAGTGCCGTCATCACCATCAACATTGCTCCTTAGTAAGAAGTAGGAATCGATCCCTGCCCTACACATGGGGCATCGATATAATAATCTGAAACAGCCCAAACATACACAGGCGTGTCGACACGGCAGCAATGCACACCTGACACGATGAGTCTGGCAGACGACACACTCTGCAAGATTGCTTGTCGGAAATTCTGGTTCATCTTCATCATTTTTATTACCATTGCCACAAGCAGACTTTGGTCTTTCACTTGGAGTTATTCCCCTTTCTTCACATGTTTTAGTTTCACATATGCCATCACTCACAGCTGAAGAATCTTTACATTTATCACAAACATATTCTAGTCTATCTTCAGTTCTAGGCCTCAAGTCACCACAGTTTTCCAAAGGGGTTTCATCTTCAGCTGACAGATCACTACCACAGGAACAACACTTTTTATCTGTTTTATCTTTACCCTTGACAGCTGTGTCGTCTCCTGCGTTCAAATGTCTCTCTTCCCTGACACGTTCGGATGCTTCTGAATTCATTGATGAATGTCCTGATGTGCTAGTCTGGTACTGGTTTTGATTCTGTTGTGCTTTTCCTCGAACATGATGATTTTGTTGATTCTGAGTTGGGTCAGTGTTCAAATATAAAGGCTGTAAAAAAATAATGTAATTTATATATATATATATTTATATATATGTATATATATATATATATTTATCTCTCTCTCTCTATATGTCCCTGTGTGTTTGTGTGTGTGTACAAAGATAAAGCAGTTACTAAACAGTATCACCATGTGTTGATTTTGGCAGTCGTATGTAGCGCCAACCATTCAGAAAGAAGGGAATACTGACCCAACAGGTCAACACTGCACTTTAAGTTGTTTGGAACTAAAAGGGAACTCCTAAAAAAGAGTCAGGTTTATCACAAGAACTCGTCTGTCAGTGTATATATGAAAGCAAATGCAAGAAGAAGTTTTGCCGCCCACCTGACAGCTAGCCAAGCCCAGAAACAAAATAAAACGTAGAAGGCAGTTTACTGGTTGAATCTTATGTCACAAAATTAGCATTTTCACCTGAAGCTTGTGATTCTCATATCTGAGATGTTAATCACATAGATGCAAGCCTGAGAAAAGAAAAACTACCTACCCATCCCTGTTCCATGATTAGACAAACATTTTTTGGCGGCCAATTTGGACTTTTTCAAGGCCCATCTGGACATTTTTAAGGCCCATCAGGAAGTTTTCAAGGTCTGTCTGGACTTTTTCAAGGCCATCTGGACTTTTTCAAGGCCCATCTGGACATTTTTTAGGCCCATCTGGACGTTTTCAAGGCCCATCAATGCGCAACGGCCCATCAGCTGAAGAAAACTGCCCTCAATCACAACATATAGGATAGGGTTTCCTTCTTCACCCCCCTGTTAATGAAACTCGACTGATACAAAAGACGTAATAGTCAGAGACAAATCTTCCTTTTACTGGGGATTGAACTAGGACCACTGGCTTGGCATGTACACATACTAACAATTATGCCACCGTGGTATACCATCAGAGGAACAAAAATTAATACACTAACTGTGAATAAGAACCCTAAAGAAGGAGAAAAAAAAGGGGGGGGGGGGGTGTGGGGGTGGGGTGGAGGAATGGACACACACAAGAAAAATCTGACTTTTCAGTCAAAGCTTTTTTCAACACAAACCACAACAACAGCAACAAAGGGCAGAGAATCCTGGCCACTGGTCTCCACACAGGTTAGCGGCTACATGCTCACCTGCCAGCAGAAGGTCTGGGGTTCCAAATAATTAATTCCCCCTCAAACCTGACCTTGGCTCCCAGATGAGCCCAGCCTAAAATGGGTACCAGGAAATCTCATGGGAAGTAAAAGCGGTCAATACGATGATGACTACCTCACTTACCTACTGCCGATTGGTCTATAACTATACACATCTATAACTATGGCTTAGGCGTTACGAACGCCCTTTGTAATGCCGGGGTGCCGGGTTCGATCCCATCTGCTGGCTTTGTGCCTTGCGTTGGTTTCGACAGTAGTATTGAGAAGCCAACCGTCCAGAAAGCTATGGCAAACTACTGGATGTAAACCTGCTTAGGAAAACCACAATAGCCAAAAAATGCTGGGGTTGGTTCTGCAACGTCCTGTAAAAGGATACACAACCAACTAATATGCAAATGCAATACAGATGTTTTGAATAACATTAACACATAAACTATTCCCATCATATGAACATAGTATATACACCGACAGGACATTTAACGCGATGGAGAAAAACTGGATAGTGAGAGCGGAATGTGGGGGGGTGGAGGTGGGGGGGGGGGGGGGAGAACCAAAAAGAGAGGATGTTAGACACTACAGCATCATGGCTTGGAAGAAAATATGGACCAGAAGTGACTGACAGTACACAGGGAAAGAGCCTCTGGACAGATATAATGGCCAACGTATGGACTTTGGGGAAAAGAAAATGTGCACTTTAATAGACAAAAATGATTTTAAGACATATTATTGAAAAATTTAAAAAGAAACACAAATTTGTGAAGTAATAGTTTAAAAAGAAAATTTTGAATGCTTTGATTGGTTTGAACAACGGATTAACATCATAGCACAAGATAGTAACCCATAAGTGCTCCGCTCTACTTCTAACTCCAGCCTGAGTTCAAGAATCTCAGCGCCCTGCATGAACCCCATAGCACCGGCGAGGATCCTGAAATACTCTGGGTATATTTTTAAACTCCAAATTTTGCCTGGGCAGCGCTGTTAGGCTACTCTTTTCAATTTCCAACTGCCAAGGGATTTTTTTAAGCGTGCAACAATACACACAGGCGTCCGATCTTACTACCCAGAGACCAGGGGACAAAATGTATAGACCTTTAAAATTCTCTTCCTTAAAACATGTCGGCAAATGGGCACAGACACAAAATAAAGAACACTATGGTAAAAGACTAAACAACCTACCTGAAGTGAGTACAATGGCACTCCAGATGTCTTGACATACTGACTAATGATATGAGAGTTTTGACTCACTTTCGTCATCTTGAAGATGCACAATGGAAATTAAACCAATCTTGTAAACAGAAGAAAATAAATGGAAGATATTTCTATTTCAAGATGTACAAAATACAAGGGCATTCTTTGTATTATTCTAGTTAAAAGGGAAGTTACGATTAAGGGGCATCATGCGCACAATGTCAAGCTTCACAGGTGATCATTTTCCTCAACAAACATCAGTCTTCTGAAGTCTTGATTATCCCAACCACTGACTGTCTTCCATGGGGAAACTCATACATCATATTCTTTGTCTCCTGATCTCTGCCTCTGTCATCTTTAATTTTACAACTGTTACAGTCTTCTTCATACCTTCTATTCTCATAAAATCACCCTATTCTTCTTCTTCTTCTTCTTCTTCTTCTTCTTCCTTAGTACATCTTGGCTGTAAATTCCGGCAGGAAGTCATTTGTTGTTCACCCACTTTTGGGCTTTGATCTAGAGTTTCAGCATTTGAGTTTTGCGTGCACATCCATTCTACAGATCTTGCTTATTTTTGTTCAGACTGTTGGCCTCTGTCCTCTCAGGTAGATGTACTCTGACTTTGAAGGAAAGACCCATAACAAGTCACCTTTTATGACATGATCAGTGGAATGGTAGTGGATCTATTGCCCCTTCCCAAATGGAGCCCCGGAATAAATACAAGTAACAACACCATATAATAATGACTGTGATTCATCAATCAATTTTAATCAAAAATCAATTTTTCCTAGAAGTGTTATTAACTTCTCTCTTTGCCCTTTAAAGAGTGGTTCACACACCCAGTTGTAGTTCACAGCTAGGCTGACACATCTGCACTTTTCGGGCCCCAACACATCCAACTTCAGTAAATCCCCTAGTTAGTTACCCTTTAATACATGCCTATTAGGGGGAAAAGTGGGTCTAATTCTTTTGTTCTCCAAAACAGGACCCTAGAACCCACACAGAGTTTTGTGTTATTAACTTAGCAGTATCTAGAAAAGTGCTTCTCAGCCTTCCTAACGCTGCAACCCTTTAATACAGTTCCTCATGCTGTGGTGACTCCACCCATAAAAGTATTTTCATTGCTACTTCAAAACTTCAGTAAATATGTGTTTTCCGATGGCCTAAGGTGACCCATGTGAAAAGGTTGTTCCACCCCCAAAGGGGGCGTGACCCACAGGTTGAGAACCATTGATCTAGATAATCGTCCTCATCATCATCAAGTGCCTTGCCAACATACATGGGCAATCATGCTTCTCTATATCATGTGATCACCCTAATGTATCAGTTTGTGTGCTGGCACCCCTCTATGCCAAAAGGTTGTTTTGAATATTCTTTATGTTGTGTTCATCTGTCTCACCAATATCACAGTCCCATAACACAGTGTGTCATTAGATCACCAGTCTCCTCATCATCATCATCATCATCATCATGTGCCCTGAGGATTGGCATAGGTGTTCATGCATCTCCACAGATCTCTGTCCCCTGCTCTCTAGATCAGATCCACTGATCCCTCCATGCCACTATTACAGTGCATCCGTCATCGTCTCTCTT